AACACAGAAAGGAAATAAAACGTTATTACAAAACTGATAACTAGATGATGGTTATTATATGGAGCTGACCTGGCGTCCTAATTATAAGTTAGTGTATGGGTAGATTATAATAAAAATTTACTGCATCTCTAAAAAAAGAAATGTATAGAGAAATAATAATTTAAATCACAGACATATTTTATGAATAAACCCGCCATTATATCAAGAAATGAAGTGAAGGATCGAAATACAAATCGCCAAAACTTTAATGGAATTAAGTGTCTCTAGTTTTAAATATCACTCACTGCTCTAATATGAAAAATTACCTAAATCAGAGAGTTAATGAACCTTTCTGTACCTATGTATGCTAAGTAGGCCAGCTAATTCATTTCTGAAGGGAAAACAATCTTGTGTTTTGACAGCAGAGGTGATAATGTCCCTCATTATGCAAATAGGATGGACCTTTATTAAAGTGTTATTTGATATATGAGAGATGTCAGCTACTTTAAATCCAAAATTTTCAACCTTTTTCTTTAAGACTATAGATCAGTGCAAGTATTACTCAAGATACTTGAAGTAAAAAGTAGTGCATTTAGAATTTACATTGAAATGAAATGAGGGAAAAGGTTCTGGCAAATTATTTATAACTAGCAAACAAGTACACCTTTCCTTATAAAAACTCTTGCACCAAAAGCCAAGCTATACAGCACAGAATAATAGGAAGAGATGATAATTTAAGAATGTTTTCAAAAGTATTTTCACAGTTTTAGTAACGCACAAATACTAGCTCCCTGAACATTACAATACTGGTTCTATTGCAAAACTATGGTCAGTTAGATGCAGTATATAAAAACATATAACACAGCACACATTCCATATTTCACAAAATGTCATAAATCACAAAATTAATTTCTATCTCATGTGATTTATTTTTAGTCACAAAAGACTTGACAGAAATAGAAGAAAATATAGAATTTATGTTCAGGATAGTACTAAAGTAAAAGGTGCATTTTTCCCCCTTTTTAACCCTTTACCCTATTTTCTATTTACATATTTTGAACAGAATAGCACAGAGTTGATTTAAATACAGAAGAGGAAAAAAAAAATCTGAACAAGATTTAGAATTATTATTTAGTAGTTTTAATGTTAGAACCGTGGTGTAGTACAACGATTGCCTTGGAAATAAAAATTCAGTAATTGTAAATCGGAGGCTGTTTCCTCATTTATTTTAAGCTCGCAGTCTTGCAGCCAACCTGATAAATTCTCACAATATGTTACATAACACTAAGCCGATGTCCTGGCCATTTAATCCATTATTTGGCTCTGATGCAAAGCTACTAAGGTAGAAAAGCTAGACCTCACTCATTCTGATCTTCAATTCTCTCTTGATTTTCTTTGCATACATTAAACTCTAAGCTGCTCAAGTGTTTTATTGCTCTAAGAAAACATCAGTTAACAAACAGTCAGTCTGATTTTTCTAACTAGTCAGTAGGATATAATTAATCTGCAGGGCAAAACAAATTTTCAAGTATAATACTTACTACCTTTCTGTAGATGAACGCCTTTTTATATTATTTGCTAGGCATATTCATATATGACAAAATCATTACCATAATGCAGAACATGGAACAAATCATATTGCCAGTATAATGAAGTGCAAAGGCTGCAAAATTGTTTTGCTGTATTAAACTTGTTTGAAAACAGTTCAACTTCTCAGTGCTTAAAAAGACACAAAGGCGCTTGATCGTATTTACCACAAAAGATAGAAGTCCAAAACTTTGAAATAAATGGATTACAAGTATTTAAAAACTTTTTTTTTTTCCAAACAAAGCTAGGAGACAGTCTTATCTGATATTCAGTGTTGACAAACAAACCTGGCCTATTTTTAGAAACCGTTTCAAATTTCCTCGGACTGGGTTTCTTTCCTGTTTTTCCTATAGTCTTACCTCGGATACAAAGAGCAAGTTAGAGTGGTGATTCTCAAGCACATGCAGGACCCAAAGGAGCCTAACGGGCTTTCTCAGTAACAGTAAGCCAATACCCTAATCCACAGCAAATGCATATGGAGCAATTTCCTTTCCTTTCATTCAGCTGGAGCCAGTGGCACTATCGGCTTACAGCGCTACGCCTGCCTAAGCTCTTATTCACTGCAAGGTGGAAGGTCAGGGTGGACAGATTAGAGCAGTGGTGACAGGTTAGCACAGACAAGGGCTGCTCTGCAGATCAAGATGCTGGTACTGAGTGAACTCAGAGAAATCAGTGAACACTGAGAAAATCTACTGGGAAGGACAAAAATCTTAGCGGAGGAGAAAGATGTTGAGTCCCTCCCACACACTTATCAGTTCCACATTTAAGACCAGTCTTCAAACAACAAAAGCTTTTGTAGACAGTTTAAAGTCAGAACACTTAAAATTCCTGTGATCTACACAAAATTAGAGTAATTCATGCAACACTTGAGAAGCAGAATTTTCTTCTTCATTACCTGTAGTAATCCACTAAGTACACTAGTTTTATTTTAAGAGGAAAAATAGATGTGCAGGAAAATAAAGTTGAAGGCAAGCAAGGATTTGGTTATTAAATATTACCATACATTCTGAGAGCACCTGAAGGAGAAGACAGAATGTGTTAGGTCATATGTATCCAACATACAATTTGCAAAGAAATGTAATTTTGCTTCAACAGGTAGCAGGTTAAGTTTTCTTGTATTGAAGAAAAAAAATATCCCTCTCCTGTTTGGTTTCTGCTTACTAGTCTAATTTGAAAGAAAAGCTTTTCAGTTTTTCTGGCAAACTCATTTCCTTCTTTAAAAATAATTACTGCTATTTTTACTGCTACTAGAAACAAATTGAGAATGCTGTGGTGTTCTCTATATCTGTCTTACTGCTTTACACATATATACCCATCAACACATACTGCTTCATGTGCTATTCTTACTATGCATTTGCCTACAGTTCTGTTCATTTCATTAGTTTATACACATTCACACATGTACGTTTATAAAGCAGATAGCTGGATTGATTCCAAATCAGTTAGATTCAGATGAGTAAATCAAGTCATCTCATTCAAGGGTGATAACCTTCAGAGGGTGGTGACTTCTGAGTCAAACAGAACATAAAGAAGTCTGGAGACCTACAGATCTGCATGGCTGCTTAGGGCTTCACCAGTGTCCTCAATACTTTTTGAAAGTTCTTGTAGGATTATGGATTACGTATTAAATATTTAAAGTTGATGGATAAATTGTATTTCCCTAACAATAATAAAGCACATGAGCTAGAAAAGTTGAAGGTACTACAAAACTCAAATAGTAATGCAGGCTTTCATTATCCTGGAGAATCTAAAAAGGAACTTAAAGTAATTCCAGAAGCTTTGTTGAAGTAACTCTCCACATAAAAGAAACCTTCCAACTTAATGACATGGTTACATGCAAACAAATTGCACTTAAAGAAACACATAGTTACATGCTATGGTGCTACAGCCTTCAGCATTTTCTCTTTTTGCAAACCCAAACATAAAAAAAAAAAAATCAGACTGCTTACAAAAAGAGGAACTTCATTTTTGGCGGGCTTCTGTTCACTATATGATTTGGCAGAGGCAGTGGTAGCTGACAGAAGATTGATCTGAGCCTTGAGAAGGGAAAGGAGCCAATGGACAACTGCAGCAGACGGCTTGACCGCTCCTGTCTCTCCTTGGACCATTCGCACACAGACGCACACGCGCGCACACATACACACACACACATGCACACCCACTATCCCTCCTCTGCAACACAGACGAGTCTCGACAGAATGGCAGGAAACACGCACAGAGTGGTCAGGGAAGGATGTGATGTCAGCAACCACGAACAATAAAAGGTGTAAAGGTGCTTCCTTCCCTAAACTGTTCCAGAAGTGCAAAATGGGAACCAAAACTCTCCACTTCCTTCTCCGAGCAGAACTGTCTGAATCTGCTCTGCTGCAACACCCCAGACAGAGAGTTCTTTGAACAGTCACACCAGGGGCAATAAGGAGTATCAAAACAGGAGAGTCAAAATATTTAATTTATAAACAAGAAGGCAGCCAGAGAAAAGCTAACTTAAAATGTGCTAGGGTTTAGCATTTTCATGGTTGCTTTACAAAAGAAACAAACTTGCCATAAAGGTGTCCCTGTTCCATTAAGCGGCTTGCATTCTCAGTAGATTAATTAGGTTCAAACTAAAGAACCAAACCAAATGTTTTTTATTATCTTGATGTAAGGAAGCAAAGAAAAAAATGCTGTTCCTATTATCTTACCATTCTCATCTTGATACATAAAAGCAACTTCAAAGATCTATGAAAACTTTTTATGCAAACCTTTCTGTTTAATCAAAAGAGTTTTGACTCAGATTCTAAATAAAAATCCAAAGGTACTGAGAAAGAATATATCAGCTAATTTTCTGATGAAAAATTAGCTGCAAAAAATGCAACATAACCATGAAAATCCACAGCCGGGAACACATATTCAAGTAAAATGGTCATTGAAATGTTTTCTGTAAGAGCCCTAGCTGACTGCGTTCCATATACAGACAAACACAGCCACACAGCGAAGAAACATCTGGGCATGCTGCATCAAATAAAAACACCGATCATTTTAGGTCTGTCACCTTGTGCTGGATAAAATTGAAAGAAGTACAGAAAAGGGTGAAAGTAATGATCATCTTTCATGTTATCCAACTGAGATCAGCTGATGTTAAAGATAGAAGTGGTCCTTCAGTGTGGTTTGGTTGCACGGTCATTACAGAGCAGACAGTTTGGGCCATTAACGGAAAGGTTATGGTAAAATTATATATGTCATCACCAAGGCAATACATCAGTAAAGCAGAAATGGCATAAGCTACAGTATGGTTATGCAGGCAGAAAG